CACGGCGCTGCCGTGGTGCCGCTGCTCACTGCAGCCCGGCGGTAACTGCCTCTGTTCGCCTCAGCAAGCCAGCTCCTGGGAGTTTGTGTTCGCTGTTCTACGGACTGTGCTGAGGGCTCTCCTCGTGCTCTGGGTCCGCGTCTCCGTCCTTTGACTGGAAATGCCCTTGGTCTGATCTTGTGTCCAGCCGGTTCACAGAGAGGAGCCGCTTCTGATTGCTCTTCCAGAGGCAGCTGAACCAGCACGAAGCTTGTCAGCCCTTCCTAGTGATGCAGAAGTCTTTAGTTTTCACCTGTTCTAATGACCTAAACTGGCTACTGGAGGCAAGAGGTGTTCGCAGCTGGCAGAGACGACAGCAGCAGCCCTGCACAGCTGGATTAGATCCTTCCTTAGAATCATAGAATCACAGAATGGTTTGGGTTGGAAGGGACTTCAGAGATCATCCAGTTCCAACCCCCCTGCCATGGACAGGGACACCCTCCACTACACCAGGTTGCTCAAAGCCTCATCCAACCTGGCCTTGAACACTGCCAGGGATGGGGCAGACACAGCTTCTCTGGGCAACCTGGTCCAGTGCCTTCCTTTGTTCCAGTGCCTTCCCTCCTTCCTAGTGACTCACAGCATAAAATCTGCGCGGTGTGGCTCAGGGAACAACATCTGAACTAGCTGCCAGCCTGGGGGCTGATACAGCTTCCTCATCGGACTGTTGAGACAACTGAGCACTAATACACGTGTAAGAGAAGGGGATGTGATGGCAGGGGAGAGGCTAAACAGCAGCAGCCCATACTTAAATCTGTGTAATCAGATCCTAAATGTGCTAAAAGCCTGTGCAAAAAGAGTGGCAGAGGAGAAAGGATGAAAGAAGCCTGATCTGGCTCACTGGTGTGTACCCCACAGGCAGCAGAGGGGACCTGTGCCTCCTTCTGGCTGCCTCTCCTCCTCACTGAGAATATGGAAATTTGGTTTTTCAATAGAGAATATTAATATTTAAATGTATTTTATCTATTGATAGATATAAAATTTAGATCATGTATGAACGCACTGATGCTGCTTCACTGTTCAGTGCCTAGATTGTTCGGTGGTTTAGTAAGTCCTCAGCTCCTAAGTAATTGCACAACTTATGAAAAATTTCCCTTAGAAGTCACGTGCACCACGTTAGGCACGCTGCTTCCTCAGAAATGAAACTAAATTGTCTGGCATTCGTCCTCCAGCAAAACTAGCTGTTGATCAAAAAAGATTTGGTTCAGCCTGACGATGCTCCTGAGGATGCTGGTGGGTGTGTCATCATCCCACTGATTCTCCTCTAAGATAGCTGGAAAAGTACTGCTGTCCTCCTTCCCTTCGAGTAAGTGTGGTTACCTGGTAGTATGGTAATTTAAAGAGTTGTTATGCTCAGTGCTATGTTTTGACTAACATCCCAGTCACCACAAACTTCAAAATGAATTTTTTGATTATGCAAAACAGGTGCCTGCCTTAATGAGCAGTTTCAAGCTGAGAACAACTGTTTTAACTTGCTGAGATCACAGCCCTGACGTGGTGGTATGTTTTTGTCCTGCTTTGCTGTGTTAGTGATGCCAGATCTTGTCTTTCTAACTAGTTGTTGTTTTTTTTTTCTCTCTGTTCTTCTGTTCTGCTAGATGTTTTGGATCCAGAGAGATTAGTACTATGCCCATACAACAAACATCATCGAATCAGAGCCTGTCGATTTCCCTATCACCTTGTGAAGTGTAGGAAGGTAAGCTGGACTGCCAAACAGGGCACAGAATAGGAGTAATTCTGTACGTGTAAATATGATGCATCTGCTCTCTCTCTTGTTGCGTTTTCTTGCTGGCTGGAGTGAGTTCCTGACAAATAGCCTTTTTTAGCCTTTATTCCATATGACTTTATTGTTTATTTAGTAATGGCTTCAAGCACATGTTAATTCACCCATGACCAGTGTGACTCTGTGGAAAGGAGGTCCAGATTCTTAATGGCTAGGTCAGGGAGGCAGTGCTGGTCTCTCCTGGCAGCTCACATGGAGGTCAGATACATTATTTTTTTTTCACTTGAAGTTGGAGAGCTCAGTCTGAGCTCCGTGCACCCCTTGTTGCTAGTCAGAATAGAAGCGTTGTGATGTTGCAGTTCATTCTTCAAGTGCTGGAAATACATCTGCATAGCAGGGTGAGGTTTTTTGTTTTGCTAATAACTTTTTAATGTGTATCTGGCAGAAACTGCACATCCTGGGCTCAGCACGTGTGGGAGAGGGTTTTTTCCCCTCTCCATCTTTCATCTGGAGTTTGAATACAAATCACTTTAATAGGAAGCATTCCTTCCTCTCTTCTCCTCTCTTGTCCTCATTGTTTGTTTTCTTTGAACCTGTCAAGTGCTAGCATCTGGCTGAGCTTTGGATTTTTGCCGAGACCTTTTAAAACCCAGTTATTCCTTGAGCTTGCTTGAGCTGGTTGAAGCAAATGACGGACACATGAGGACACAGCAGCCTTGGCTGTATAGACCTAGTAGTGACAGCTGCCTTGGATGTCCCTGCAGCCTGCTCTCCAGCCACATATCAATAGTGATGGAGGAGACAGTGCCTTGAGCAGGGTCTCTACAAGGCACTTCTGCCTCAAGTGCAAGTCTAAGCCCTGACCAGCAGAGCTACATCAACCAGAACCAGGCAGGCACTGGGACAGTGGCAAAGTTGTGCTTTTCCCAATAAAGGCTGTGTCGTTTGCAGGGGATGAGCTAATTTACCATAGGGACAACTGAGCACTGCCAGTAGAACTCATGTCTGTCATAAGAAGGTTTTACTTGAATAGTAATCCTGTAGCACCAAAGTCTGCAGGTGGATTGCTCCCAACTCCCTAGCTCTTTTGAAAGGTTTAAGGAATTTCTCTGCCTTTGTGCCTGCTTATTTTTAAATTATCTGAATGGTTCAGATTTGGCTAACATCTCTGCCCTGTTGTTTTTAACATAGTTCCATCTGTGCTTTAAACCATGCAGCCATGTTGCCAGTGTGGCAGCGAGTTGCAGGGAGTTTAGCTGAGGGCAGGTTTCATTTCAGTCAAGTCAAGGGTGGCTCAGTTTCTCACTGAATTGTGTTTTACAGAACAGTCATGTTAGCTTCCCCTGGCATTTTTAGTAAGTGTCTGAACAATATGCTGTTCCTTGTTAGTCTTTTTTTTTAAAGCAACACGACAAATAGCCTTTTTTTTTTTTTTTTGTGGATTAGAAAGAGGTAAGTGAACTTGAGAGATATGGCACATGATTTTGGTTTTCCCCTGTCTAGAGCTACCCTGAACTTGCAAAGGAATTGGCCACATGCCCCTTCAACGCTCGCCATCTAGTTCCTCAAGCCGACCTCAGCGATCACATAATGAAGTGCAATGACAAAGGGTTCATGGAGCAAGACATGGGTAAGAGAACCACCCATGCTCCAAGGAGTTTGTTCACCCTGGGGGCTGAGTTCTCCTGTTTGTGAGGATAGCTCATACGGTAACCAAAAAGTGGGAGTCAAATTATTGTCTATAGTTTCGTAGGACACAGCAGCTTTGGGGACACTTGAGTCGTACTTGCTTTGATTTATTGGGTAAGTTCGTGAGAATATTGCAGATGCTCCCGGTAGGCCTTGCACATGTTTTGTTACAAGGCTTGTTGAATAAAAAGGTTGCACCCTAGACTGCGCATATTGAAATACCTCCAGCAGGAGCTGGGATGCTTTAATGACCAGAAGAACAGTTCCTTCTTTTTGTAGAGCTGATCTCCCTTTGTTGAGGCTTGACCACTGGTGCCATGTGAAAAGCTGTTTTCTACAAAACTGGTGTCTAAGCAATGGAAACCTCTGCAGCTCTTCTCTTCCCGGGCAGCCTGAGTAGTTCACTCCCACCAAGAGATGGGGCAATTCCCCTTCCAGGCTGCTCTGGTGCTGCGTTTCCTTCATCTGCCATACAGTTAAGATTTCAGTCTCCTGCTCAGTGAGACAAGGTGGGAGAGGGGCTGCCCAAAACCCTGGAAATATTTAGGAAGGCGTCCTGTGCTATGCAGTGTCTTTTCTATCTCCTGCAGTGGCTCTTTAACTCTTGCCATGCTGCAGAGCAGATAGATGGTTTTCTGTCTTCTGTAGAGTTGCACTGAGGCTAGCGGTGAAGCCTGCATTCGTGAAAGCAGGTTTCCTCTTCACTTGAGCATTCCTGAGCACAGTCTTCTCCTGTTCATTGAGAAAGGCCAATTGAAAGTCGCTTGATTTCAGATCCGTACCTGGCTCCTGGGTGTACCTGACCTGTTTGCATTGGGCAGGGTTTCCTCTAAAGTCAAGAGCAGTTTCACAGTTCAATCCAAAGTGCTTAATGCCTCTGAAGCAGGATTGACTGCTAGTCACTGAGTTTTCTCTCTTCTTGAAGTGAGTCAGTCCTCTGGCTTCCAGAGAGAGCAGATGAATGCTGTGAGCACGTGGCAGGCACCTCCATGTGAAGAAGACTGGGAAACAGGTGAGGAACTTCCCCATCTGCCACACTGCTGCCTTCTCTCTGGTCCTGTCCTTCAACTCCACTTGGGACAGTGTGAGTCCAGAGATGCCGTTCACTCAGTTTCTACTCGTAGGACATCCTACTTAGGCTCATTCCTGAAAACATGCATCTCTCCATCTAGCAGGCTTTCCTTGGTATGCAGATCTATTCAACATGCCTGCCATAATTGGCATGAAGATGTATTTCCAAGCATCTGCTCCTTCCTGTATAAGCTTTTGTACCTTATGTGCAATGATGACAATGGAAACACGGTAACTTTTCTGTTCCTCAGTTAAATGGCAGTGAAACAGATACGTTCATCATTAGATCAACTTTTACTCCCTCTTGAACACATAGAAGCATGACGAGATATTCCTGATCTGGTGGTGGCTGCTGGAGTTTCTTAGTTCTGAGCAATGACATCTGTTTCCTTTTGCAGAGACGTTGGAGCAGTCGGATTCTCCTTTTATTTGGGGCATGCCCAACTCTGGCATGAAGAGGTAGCGATTGCAAGTTCGATTCCTTACAACAGTGTTTTTTGTAGAGGAATATTGGAGCCTGCTCCCAACCTGGCCTCGATGGCTGGGCATGGGCTGACTTTGTTGCTGTACAAACCCTGGGAGGAGTGATGCTGATTAACAGCAAATGTCCGTGGGGTGCTGTTTCGGTGTTACTTGCTTTCTCCTATGACTGGCCTGGACAAGAGAAGGAAGCCCTTAGGAACACAAGAGAAGGAAGCCCTTAGGAACACAAGAGAAGGAAGCCCTTAGGAAAACAGATACTCTGTGCTCCTGTATGTGTGTGGCAGGGTGCTCTTCCTGCCCATGGCCTATGTTCAGTTCCTGACCAATGTGCAGCAGAGAAGGGTACTGAGCCTTTATGCTGACTTTGGAAATGAGGCCAGGTGCCTCCCTCTGGAGCCTTTTCAAACAGTTACTGAGTTTCTGTTGAGCTCATGGTTGGCTAGCAGTCCTTTGTGACCTCCTGTCACCTCAGACTTGGCAGATGTGCTGGCATTAAGGCCCTATGTTAGCAGAAATCCCCTCCTCTTGCCCTTTGCAAAGCGTAATCACAGTTTGGGTTTGGGGGAGTGAGGAGCTTAATATCCAACTGTGAACTGAATGGAGCTGCCTTGGCTGGTTTCTTTGATCCAACAGTGGATCACAATTGCAGGCTGTATACGAGATGTGGTGACGCCACCAGAGATGCCAAAGCATGTTTTGAGGTTCGTCTAAGCCCATATGCAGCAGCACTCCTGCACCTGACAGCTCTGCAGTTCTGTATGAGCTCAATCCTGACATGCCTCTCCTTCCATAACAACAGTGATATCTGGTTTCACTTGTCACGCTTTTTGGAAAACTGTCTAGTGTTTAGAGCATATATAGCTCTTCTAAGCACCGCCACCTCCAGGTGGCAAAGTACCATCCCCTTATGTCCCTGCTCTCCTCCATGCTATAGCAAAATGCATAAATTTGAGCAAGTGCACTTATCAGGAGAAGTAACTGAAATCTTTCCCTTCCAGTACTACCTCTGAACAAAAGAATTGCTTGCCTTCAAGAGTACGTGCCCCTGAGTCCTTCCCGTACGTCGTATCGTGGAAAGGCTGTAAGTACTATGGATATGGGTTTGGCACTGTGGCTGCTGTAGATGGTGACAGTTGCTGAAATCTCTGGCTGCTGCAGTGCTTTATGCCCACCACTGCAAGGGCAGGAGGGATTGTATGTAACACCTGCCCTCCTTGAGAGCAGCTTCTGAGGGAGTCTGATGCTTGGATCATCCTCTGTATTCTTTATTTCATATTCTTGACAGGCCCTTCGCTGCAGTGGTCCAGTTTAAGCAGCCCTTCTCCCAGCCACTTTGGCTCTCTCTCTTTAAACAAGTCCTTCCACACCATCGGCCCCTTTCACCCCCCACCCTTCCCCCCACTTAAACCAAATCCCTTCCTTGCTTTGTGCAGCTCTGCTCACTGTCAGCTGTAGGGGTAAAACTAGGGCTGCTTGGACCAGCACTAATGGGGGAAAAACCCCATCATCTACATCTGGAGGTGGGAGGGAGCTTCCTGCCTTGAGGTGTTTGAAAATCACAGACCATTATTTGCCGTTAGCAGCAAAGCAGAAGCGTAAAGGTGCTTTGACTGTCTTGTTTCCCACTTGGAGCAACTAAACCCAGTACTCCTGGGCTTTGCGGCACAGCTTCTGCACAAGCCAGTGACTGTGCAGTTGCCATAGGGTCAGGTTGAATCTGCCAAACCAAATTAGTGTCACTTGTAGATAAGCGTTGGTGACAAGTCCTACTTCAGCAAAGGCCACTCTCACTTGAGGGGGTGGAGGAAATTCTTGTGGTTTTCTCCATCTTGTGCTAAAAATGTGTCTTGCCCTTTTCAGAGTTTGGAGTATTAAGTGTCTCTTCCCCCTGGAAGTTTGTTCCCTCCCAGCACTAAAAGGTTCCCTTCCCTAGGACCCTGTGGCTCCTGCAGATGGTAGATATTCCCTGGACTGGATGGCAGGACTCTGTAGACTTGGATCTTGCTGCATGACATGTTTTTGCAACACTTGATTATTATTTTTTTTAAACTCCCTTTGGTCGCCAAATCTTTTTCCCAAGAAGTTAACCTCATCTTCCTTTGGTGATCTTTGTTGCTGTTGACGAGTAAATAGACTGCTAAATGTACACAGCACCAACTCAGAACTATCTTCCCCTCTTGGACAGCAGTGAGTAGTTAACAGGAAAAAGGCAGGAATTGGCAAACCTCTGCTGGTTCACTTGTCAGATGGCAGCGCTGACATCTGTGAAGTTGTGTTTGCTCTGGTGATTTGGAAACAGCAGGAGAAGTTTTGAAGTGGTGATCAGTTTAAAGTGGTGGGCGTGAGGAAGGGGATGATTTGAAGCAGAGGAGGCAGGGTCTGATTAAGTTCCTACTCAGAGAAGTGATAGTGAGAAACAGAACAGCGTGGGGGGGTTGCACAAACCACTGAAATCTCCTCCTTTAGCTTGATGCTTCAAAGCAAGTGTGTGCAATTGCAAAAGAGAGTTGTCTCCATGTGATGTTTTGTGCTGATTGTAAATGAAGGGATGCAATTATGTTTGTGGGGGGCGGAGAAAATGCCCTGCAAAAACGGCATGTTTGTGCGAATTCAGGCCCTGGTGTAGCAGGAACTGTTGTACTCCCACTTCAGTGGAGTCAGGAACCACAGCACAGAGTAATTTCCAGGGATTTCTACCTTTGCACCGTAAGCATGTGTCTTGCACCTGCAAAGCAACACTGCATGTTTCTGTTTTCACAACTGTATGGCATCTGGAGTGATTTCTATGGAACTTCTACGTGAGCTTTAATAAGGCCAAGTGCAGAGTC